ACAACCGGTTGCCGAATAAAGCTCGAGGTCGATTGGAGTGCGAGTACTGGTGGCAACCGCACCTTCGATCAAATTTGCGATTCCTTCAGCTTGATAGGCATCTATTGACTGATGTTGCGGGGATAATTTCGTCGCACTACAAACATGAACGATACTTATAAAGAACAAAACAAACGGGAAGCTACCCAGAAGTATTCACGTCCTACAGAAACGAAATGGCTTCAAATACTGTGAGACGCATGACGAAAAGAAGGATACAATTTTCGTAAGCCCGCGTATCTGCGATGAGCACTCTGGAACACCTCTAAATAAGTCAGCAACTTGCTTTCAAACTTTTTTTGGGTTTCCTCTGATGCATATGCCTGGGTTCTAATAAGTAAACAACTCCCCAATTTTCTAACATATCGCTGCTATGCCAAAAAGCTGGGTCACCAGAAAGGCTTTCCGGCACCTGTGAAGCTTTGATGAAGTTGCTTCATGCATGAAACAGAGCATGTCGAATAAGTGGAAATACGCTTCTACGGGTGTGGTTCACTAGGACAGAAAGCGACTTTTTCGCGTTTCGCAGCGCGAAACATTGTTCGTTGCGGGAATCTCGGGTCCACTGATGATTCGCTGCGGGAACCTCGGGTCCACTGATGATCAGCGGTGGACCTGAGGTTCCCGCAGCGGAAAATGTTTCGCGCTGCGAAACGCGAAAAAGTCGCTTTCTGTCCTAGTGAACCCGGCTTCTACTACTCCTATTCTAACGCTTTTCATCTAAACCACTATTATCGTCAGAAGATTCAGTAAATTTAGGTGGACGTAGGGAAAGATTACCTGCACATTAAAGACACTATCCATGACTAAAATGTGACCATTATTTTCAAGAAAGAAAAAAAGAGAAAGAATAACGGCCAAAAGTGAGAATAGAACAAATTCTTCCCTTGGACTTTTGCCATTCTTGTGAGACCGGCGCACAAACTAGTACATGAAACTGGTGTACGCCGAGGCAACACGACACATATTGTCGCATGGACCGATGTCTCGTGAACAACAGCGGCCACTAGAAGGTCCAGCGCCATTATCGCGCTCTATCGAGCAGCAAGACGACACATCTTGGCAGTTCTATCTTACTAATGGCAGGGATTAATCCAGCCGGATAGAGAAAGGTGCCTTCAAGTGTGCTATTAAATCGCCGCTAAGGACGTGCAAAGAAAAACAAATAAAAAAACAAGGAAGTTTCCATGAATTTGGTCTTCTGTCCTAGCTACCTCCCACTTTAAATGAAAGACGCCAAAATGCCCTTTCCCTACCCTACATTTGAACACTTAGAACATCCGATAAAAATAGGAATCTACTCGCGTCGGGATGCAGCTGAGCTCTAGCTTGCAGTTGACTCACCAATAAGCTAGGGTGGCGTTACCTAGACATTAGGGTGCTGACGCAGTTGGGCTGGCGGTGCTGGCGTAGTCGCTGTCGCAGCGCGCGATGCCCCCCCCCCTGCTTCTCCCCTAGGCACGTTAACGGCGGCATTAGTTGTCGAATAGTCCGCGAGAGCCATTTTGTGACCGAATGGCCAAGAGGAATAAGAGTAGCCCCTCGATTTCAATTTTTTTCAGACGGAAAACGGCCAAAGGCCATGTGAAATCGCTTGAATACCGCTAAGATCGGAATCGATTTTAACACCTTGACGACAGCGCGGCAACTAGGTTTGCCGCGTTTTGCACGCCGCAATGGACATTGTGGCAACTATAGTTGCCACACCCTTTACATTCAGTTTTTTCTTGAACGCGCCATTTCTTCCCAGGTTTTTTGTGTTCATTTTTAGGCCATACCACAACATAACCAAGAACCACGCGGCTTATAGAATGACCAAATATTCTTTAGTTTGGCAGAGGTTTTTCGGACCGGACGAAAATATCCGTTCAGTTCATTCCTCATTTTCTCTTCATTAACACGAACATGTAGATAAAAAAGAATATTAGAAGTGAGTACAAAGCTACTCGTGTGGCAAGATATGTGTTTTTACCGAAACAACCACGTCCAAAATAATTTTGAAATCACTAAAGCAAAAGTAAGTGAAACTTGCCTTTTCAATGCTGTAACACATCATTCGACCGCACTTTCACATGTGTACCTTCCAATAAGTTTGACACACCAAATATCAGTGAAAACATTATGCCGCATCGAAGTATTGCGTATTTAATGCTCGAAATCCACAAAATTGTTGTGAGGCGGCGGC